CAAGGATGCCACCACTTAGGTTGTTTGGAATCCTCCTTTCTGTTACAGGAGGTTTTGGAGCAGTTCCCACAAGTTCAAGGCACAAGGAAGACATGATAGCCTTCCCCCTTTAAAGAACATCCCCCTAGAAAGAGAAAAGGACATGTACAAAGTAGGAGATGGCAAGTGCCATAAAAGAAGTACAGATAATAATAATACAAGTTCTCATAACAGCCCTGTGAGATGGTGTGATTATTTATACCCATTTTACAGATGAGAAAACTCAGGCTCAAGCAGGTTAACTGACCAGACAGATCACACAGCTAGGAAGAACTACAGCCAGAATTCAAACCCTGATCCCATACATAGGAATGTCACTCATCTACACGCTACCAATTTACAGCTAACCATTGTGTGAATTAGCAGAACAGAGAACAGAGAGATCTCTTCCAGTGTGGGGAGTGTGGATGGTAGGAGGTGACTGATGATCAGGAATTGCCGTATTTTACGCAAATAATGCACACCTTCTACGTTTGTTTACCAACTGTGTCCTACCCCCATGAGCTACTTTTGTAAGCACACTATGCTAATTTTTTTACAGCAACATGTAAAAAAATAATTGGCATAGCAACGCTTATGAAAATACCTCACGGGGAGGACACAGTTAACAAACATAGAAAGTGCACATTATTTGCGTAAAAACACGGTACTTCATGCAGAACATGGCATCTACACAGAGGGGGAATAGGAGTTTTATGAATGGAGATGAGAGCGGTCATCTCAGGCTAAAGGAGTAGCATGAGCTAAAGCATGAAGGTTAGAAATGTAGGATACGTCTAAGGAATGGCAAAGAATGTGGCTGATTTAAGGAAGAATGAGCAGGAGCATCAAGAAGTCCACGGTGGACACACACTGGCAGGTACACGTATGGTTAGGACGGGTCTTGGAAACCAGGGACAGGAGTTTTTATGTAATGCCTTTAAGTACATGGAAAATAATTTTTTCCAAGCAGAATTATAGCATATTTCCAGCTATATTTGGGATTCTGTGCTGCAGTGCTAGGGCCATGAAGATGGCCTTCCAGGATCTGGATGAGAATCAGGAATAATGGGCCTTCAGGTCCTTTCAGGTGAACCTTATTCTACAGTTGACTTTGGGGGTTAAGAAGTCTAGACCTAGCTCATAGATACTAACCTTCCAGAGAAGAGTCTCTACAGCTCAATAAATGAATTCTAGGCCCTAGTTGGAGCATAAACCAAAAACCAAACCGGTTGAGTCAATTCCGACTCATGGCAATCCCATGCATGTCAGAGTAGAACTGTGTTCCATAGGGTTTTCAATGGCGGATTATGTTTGGAAGCAGATCACCAGGCCTTTCTTCTAAGGCACCTCTGGGTGCATTGGAAACTCTAACCTTTCAGTTAGC